TGGGCCCGAGCTAGTCGCGGCTGAAGAATTGGCCGATGAGCAAGACAAAGATAGCTTTGCTCTGTCAACCGAGATAGGAGTAACCGTAGCACCCGAGAAGAGGAGTCAACAGGGAACACAGCGCAAGCAGCCGCGAGCCCCACCCAAGCGTTAAGGCGAAACCTTCAAAGGCACCGCAGGAAACCGCAGCGATACCTCTAGTTTGAGGGACAGGAGGGACCTCCGTGTTAGGGGGGAACCACGTGTATATAGAAAAAAAAATTATCCTGGAATATAATTACTAGAAAAATAACCTTATATTTTGCAGATTGACGAAGGGGAAAGACGGAGTGGACGACAAGGCTCCACAAGGGGAAACGTTCAGGTGCAAGAGGTGTGGCGAGGCGTTTCTGCACCAGCGCAGCCTGACCTGGCACCTATTACCGACGAGCATGGCCCGAGAGTCTACTGTAGGTGCCGACGATGTGCGCACAAGAATAACAGAAGAGATAATCTACGGTACCAATACCGAGACTCCCACCCAGAACACTAGGAGAGGTAGCAGACACCAAGAGAGAAACCTGGAAGGACATCGAGAAGTCCAAACGTCAGAGCGAGACAGGTGGGAACCGACGCGGAAGGGGTCCAACGCCACCTTAGAAGGAGAAGCGAGCCACCAAAGAAACGGGCATCTGTAGAAGGCAGGTGGGGAAAAGGAGCGTAAGATGAGGGAGTTGTCACCTGGGAACCAATTGAGACGTAAGAGGTCTGGATCAGCTGATGTAGAGACAAAGAGCAGCAGGAAGTCCCCAAGAAGCGAAGTCAGGAAGATGCACCTAGGAGCGAGAGACCTAGAAGAAATCTATCCGATCTGTGGCTACAACGGTGTCAAGAGCACCTGATACTGTTTCAGACGAGCCAATCAGTACTTCATCTGAACCGCGAAGGAACCGCGGCGGACAGCGGGTGTCCATAGAACAACTCATGCAGTTGTGCAGGCTCAGGACGAGCGAGAAGCCAACGGCGGAGGGATAGAACATGATGTTCAAGGATGCTGGAAACACTTAAATTTTCAGCTGGAGACCTACAGGAGATAGCCGAAATCGAGCTGTCGCCCACACCCTTGTCTGCTATGGAGCCAGACGAAGATCTCGTCGGTGAGTTGTCCAGGCAGACGAGAGGAGGAAAACCCATCAACATTATGGCGATGGGATTTAGCACCTATCAAGGTGATGAGAAAGATAAGGTGAGACCGTTTTTGAGGCTAAATAACATCCTGCCGGGACAAGCTGTGAAGGTAAGAGAAGTGCGGGAGACATACTCTATCGGGAGGAGTTGAAGGTGCCTCAAGGACAGACCCATCAGGAGTATGACGTGGTATATCTGCGACCGATGTAGACAGAGTCTAACAAGCCAGCGCCTGAGCTCTAGATTTGCAGTATAATCCAGAGCACCGATACTGGGGACGAGCGTCTAGGACCACCAAACGGCGAAGGCAGCCTGGAACAAGCCATCCCTTGAAGGTCACTATTACTGAGGCCACGTCCTAAGTGCTGGATCAGGAGGGCCGTAAAATCATGAAAGACAAGACCACAAGCGTCTACGACGTTGCCTTTGTTGCTGGATTTGGAAGTATTTAAAGAACTGTAAAAAGACTGCTTGTTTGTTAGCTTATCACGCCTTCCCAGGTGTTTTGCAGGCATTAAGTTATTTAACTAGTTCTAAAGTGTTCCTGTAGAAGTTTAAAGAGTTTTGAGTTTATATTTTAAATCATTGTATAAGCTTAAGTTCAAAGTATTTAGGATTGTATAACATGTTTTAGCAACATGTTGAGGACCAAAACAGTACGCCTTGTAGGCGTGCATAAACTATTGATTTGATTTTTGTAAGTTTAAACGGTCAAGGGACTGACTGAAACTTAAGGTGCGGCTGTGTGGCGCAATGGTAGTTTTTTTGTGTTTATTCTGAGCCGTCGTAGTTAGGCCCGGGGCTTATTCCCTGACGTCGGCGGGACCCGCCGGACGTGGTGGCAGGTGGCGCCAGGCCAGCCTGCGAGATATATAATTGGGATCGCGCGCCAAGCGGGTCAGTTCTTTCGCAGTCAGTCCCATGTGCCAAAGCAGTTCAGCGCCGTCCCGGTTAGTTTCAGTTGCCGAACAGTTTTCTTGTACTGCTCCCACACAGTCTGTCGTGGAGAACTACTAGGCTGTACCCGTAAGTACGCGACTTACCGGGGGATCTTCAGACTTCATATAAATCATCTGGGGACAAGTTTATACAGGGGAACTCCATCCACGGGGCGGTATTCTTACGAGGGAATTCGATGGTTGTAAAACAAGTTGTGCAAGTAGCTTACATTTGTATAGGGATCACGACCAGTATGGGGCCAAGACCTGTCAAGGAGATTGCCAGGGCCTGTGGAGGTCGCATCGTCAGTAGCGCTTGGAGAGGTGTGAGCAATTATTAAACCAGAGTCAACTTAGGCAGATGTGTCCGTTTGTGTCTGTTGTGCCCCAGGTGTCCCACCCTGTCCTTTACCCCAGTGCTTTACCCCAGTGTTGCTCTGCTGCTGCACCTGGCGATAGACTGTCCCAAAACTGGCCTGCTTGCCCGTGGCTGCCTCAGGCTAGACCTCTCGCTGACGTCGGCGGAGGACGACCTGGGGGTTGTGTCTGCACGCTTGCCCCAGTACTCAGACTTGTAGACTCGTTCATTATAATGAAGGTAAGACCGACGTAAAAACAAGTGCGGCACTGTGATTGGCTGCTACAACTTTTGGTAGATGAGCCAATTCACTGCACGGTTGGCAGATTTGCCAAGACAGGATTTCTGAACCAAAGTCGGAGTAATAAGTGGAGACAAGAGGGCGTGAAGCAAGTATTGCCACGGTATACGGTCTCGATTTGTATCCAAAGCATAATCGAATTCACAGAGATCCCGACTTGGGTCAAGTCTACTTATCACTATGACTGAAGTTCAGAAATCCCGACTTGACGAATCTGCCAACCGTTTGTACACAGCGAATGGGCTCATCTGCCAAAAGTGATAACAGACAATCACATTGCCGGACTTGTTTTTACGTCGTTAAAATTGTTACCTGCATTATAATGAACGAGTCTACACGTCTGAATACTTCGGTTGGTGGAAATTCCGTATACATTTTGCAAGATCATGTCTTTCAAATGAAATTCACCGACGAGGAGTCCGATTGGCTTATCTGTCAAGTCGGACTTACTGACTTTTGGCGTATGACACACATTGTACAATAAAGGCTATCAGAATTTGAGAGCGCCTTATAAGGGTCATGTGAGCTGCTGGGCCGAGCGCGACAACCGCGTTCTGCATATAAGCTAAAGGGATGGCTGATTGGGAAGAGTGCAACTTGATTCAAGTTTAGCTCGCAAGTTTGTTGCCCTTGCTCAGGGTAAGCTCTGGTGTTAAAGGTGACCAAACCAGATTGCTCAGCGCCCTAGGATGTTCAAAACGTCATATCCCACACCACAAAAACTCTCAACGTTTGTTTTGTCATTCCTCTCTCTTAAGGAACTTATCCAAAGAAACAAGCTCTGAATATCAGCAGTTCAGAAGACGATAGGCCTATCGTCAAACTGTATAATTAAGGGCAAGTTCGATCAAGGACCAAAAGTGAACTAATGGTTAGTTCGTGACGTACCTAGCGCATATGCGGTGAAGTTGGAGTGCGAACGACCCTTGTGAACCGTTGTCAGGTCATTGGGCCGAAGGCGTTTGATCAGAGTTAACCGAACTATTGTCCTTGATCGAACTTGCCCTAATATAACATACGTTAATAATATCATCTGCAAATGTGATCTTCCCTCTTTTACTCGTGTAAACTTTAATGGGAAAGTTGTTCCGGTATCAGTGAGTACGAGTTCACGTCATTTAGTCTGGTTTACCTACTACGCTGCGGGGACGGGAACGAGTATGTTATGCGAGTTCGACCATTATCGAACTCCTTGGTAGCCCATGCACAAACGGTATCATTGGTACCACGCAAACTGAGGGGAAACTCGAGCGAAGACTCTACACTGTAAAACCTAAGAACGTTTGACGCGTTAATAAACTAAACACATTAACATTTGAACACGCAGTGTGTTTGGACGTGAACGTGTTTAACACACTGTGTTTATTATCGCAACATTAAACGCCTGTTTAGAGCGGCTTAAAATGTGAATTTCATTATTTTCCGCCAATACTCTTTAGAACCGATGCAATTCAAAACCCATGTGTAAGTGGTTAACGTAAGCTAATGTTAAATCTAATATATGGATGCAGAGTGAATTATCGCTTGATTATCACACCAAAAATAAACACCGTGTTTAGACAATAATTATGTTCAGTTGTACCGCCCAGCGTTTAAGACACGACTATGCACATGCGCAGTATTTACACGCACGTGCATGCGCACTTCGATATCTTTCTGCGTCCCCTGCACGTCTGATTGCAGTTGTTAGTTGCAAATTAGAGAAATTGGACTGATCAGAGTTGCATTTATTCGTTCCATACAAAGGTTCGCGGATGCATAGATATTTCAGGATCTCGGATGGGTGATAATTTTCTGAAGAAAATAAGGTCCGTCAACAGTATTTCAACCATTTTGTTTCCCATTCTCTCTTTCTTTCTCACGAAAAACATGACCCTTACATATGCTCTGTAAGGGGCCTTCTTGCCCTCAGAGGTAGGGAAAAAGAAGAAATGAGAACGCGTACCTTACAAATCCTCTTATATTAAGGATTCGCAGCTGGGTGCTGTATTAATTGAACGTTTTATGTTGGAATAACTATCGACGACCGCTTATCAGATAGCGGATTTTATTCAGGTACTCTCAGTAAGAAACATGATTGTTTTTAGTTAACATGCGTATCAACTTGTCGGTTTTGTTCAATGCATTGAATTTATTTAGTAAAGCTCTATGGTACAATTCCAGTAACTTATATATTTTTCCGAAGATATATTAGATATTCAACATCGTGTGTTATTTAACAATTTAATTCACGCAGGTGCATATTGAAAGTAATACTACAGCCAGGCTGTATGAGAGGGTGCCTCTGGATACCAGCCCAGTATTGACAGATATCAAGATAAACGACACTACCAGAGAGATGCATGTACTCACTGAACAAAAGGTTTGCTGTGAGAATTGTCCTAGGTTAAGAAAATGTAATAGTATCAAATTACTCGTGGCTCTTATTTCACAAAGGTTGCACACCCATGAAACAAAATCAGTGACGCCACACTTTATTTAGTGCGCTGTGCTTCCCGTGGCTTTCAGTGTAATGGGAAAGAGCACATGTAATGTTGGAGCCAAAAGTTTTACTTATACTCACTGAATTCAGGAAACAACTGTTGTGAGTTATTACAGGATCATTTTGTTGAGGCGACTACCAACTGCAAAGTCAACCAGTATGCTTAAGATACGTTGCATCCTTCCGGTTTATTTGAAGTCAAACATTATGGATGGGGAATATTTTGACTGTAAGGCCTTTCCTTAGTTAATGAAAGAAAAGCCTTTTTGAAAAGATTTTGCTGTTTTTTATCACAATTAATCAAGATTCGTGTCGAGAATTGTACTCAGTACACGACACGTGGGATGTGTCTTGGGACCGATGCAGGGAATAATGGAGACCCATACAATCTTAGTTAGTATGGGAGATTGAAGGAAAGCCACTTAAAATGTGCTGTTTCCCTCACAGTTGATCAAGATGCGTGTCGAGAATTGTAGTCAGTACACCACATGTGAGGCGTGTATTGGGACTGATGCAGGGAATGATGGAGACCCATACTGTGGATGGTGCACACTGGAAAGAAAGTAAGTCGTAGTAAATGTCATTGATTCAGTGGTTAGATGATCTATAAAAGTGCTTGTGCTCAACTCTACCATTCTTTTTATAGATGTTCAAGATATTCAGACTGTCTGTTGCCAGATGTATCTACTCGATGGTTGGCATACAATGCTGCTCAGTGCATTAACATTACCAACGTAGCTCCTTATGACAGCCTGCCTATCAGTCTCACAGAGCAACAGGTCAGGACTCTCCTTAAACCATTTTCCAGTGGCGTATCCAGCGGCCCCCCGACGGATTTAAAGAATATACAAATGATACTTCAAAGAAAGTAACCATTAAATTCATTTATTCAAATATTACATGTTGTTCCAAAACTCTGAGAAAACAACACAAGCAAATAAAGCAAGGATGTCGGTACCTAGACTAAGGCCGTTTTCCAATACTCAACTTCGTCTCCGTCTCAGGCTTCGTCTTCGAAACCAATCCCCGGTTGTGGGCCTGAAACCTTTGAATTAAAATGAAGTACTGTAATTTTTGACTCTTTTGCATCTTACGTTTTGTGTTTTGTTGTGTTACGTTATGTTTTGTGGCATTGTCAGACTTACCATTGCGCTTACAACGTCAAAGTCAGGTAGTAAAAAAAATCGAAACCTGGGACGGAGCCGAAGTCGAGTATTGGACAAGGGCCTGAGGCTTTTGATTTTTATCTCCACATTCAGCATGCTAAATGAGCCCGATGCTGCAAATTTTGAATCCCCTCAAAAACATACACTGTGCCCTTACATATGTATACTTGTGGGGGTATTTCCTTTGTTCTCGTGTACAAAACTCCCACACAACACGGAAAAAATTTCAAATCACAGCCTGTGTCTCTCATATAAAACTCTCCAATTTGCGACGGTTGAATGGCACTTGAAAATTCCTCCTTTTTGAGTGAATTTGAAATATCTATTTTGTAAAATTTTTGTGGGGTACCACTTAAGTATCCCACAAGTATCAAAGCTGGCCTTGTGGGGTACCTTCCATTGTTCCTTTACCCCACAAGACACCATGTACAAGCGCACACACAACCACACACACACACACCAAAAGCTGGATACGGTAGAAATCAAAAATGTTACTTGGGATCATATCTTGCATGGATTTAAATTGACATATCTATGAAGACGAATTGTGTTTGAAAAAACAGTACTCGTTTAAAGTTTCCTTTTCATTGCAACACTTGACTTGGAAATGGCTAGCCTTAGAGGTGTTGCATCAAAGTAGAGTCTACTGAGAGACACTTTTGGTGACTCAGAAATCATTGATATATCTTGCAGGTATAAAATGCGTGCAGCGCTTCCAAGCCGAACTTAGAAAAATTTTAAAAATTTAATCACGGCAGTAGCACAGCGTTTAGTGCCAAATTTGTTCCACAAATTGCACTTAGGGACAGGGAATGTTGCGCTCTCGATGTTCTGAATGGCACTGACACAACACTGCTTTGGTCGGATTTGCACTTATCGCAGTTGCCATGCTGTTGTCGTGATAGTGCCGCACTCATCTGAATAAAGCTCGGAACGGCAGTAGAACGATGTACAGCCTAGGCCTTATGTGTTGAATTCAATTCATTTTTATAAGTGAACTAAATAAAATCCGAAGCACACGTTTGTCTGGTTTTCCTTAGATCAACCTGAGTCTACAACAATTACCTGACCTAACTACTGACCAGAATTATGAATGTTACTTTGGGTCATACCAATCTCCTGCTACAAAGACTGGCGGCATGCTTACGTGTACATCTCCACCTAATGATGGGATACCTGCCATTCAGCAAGGAGGTAAGCAAAACAAGAACTTACTAATTTAATTTCTAAAGAGATTTGCAAATTTTCGAAACTTAAACTTGGAATATAAACGCTATTGTGTTATCACCAAAAGCCCAAGAGCTTCCGTGCTGATACTGATAAGCCTTCGACAATCATTTTGTGCAATATCTTGCTCGTAACCTTTCCTTAGATGACGCTGTCGGGGTTGACCTGAGTGTCTATTCAACGGAAACAGTGGTGCGATTCATTGATACCAGCTTTCACTTCTACAACTGTTCAGTTCACACATCGTAAGTAGGCCTATTTGCTGGATATGTAGGCCTGCATGTTTACTCTTTGAAATCAATCAGTCACCAAAGGAAATTCTCTTGGAAATACACGCATTTGGATTATCATGTAATTCATCTGGGAAGTATCATACGTAAGTTTCTAAGCGATTAATCTGTTTTGTAGAATTATACATGAATTGTGATTGTTGAGGTTGTGTTTGAAAATTGCTTAATAACAGAGGAATGGTTAAAACTGGGGTTTAACCGAAAGTAAAATGGCTAAATGTGAATTTTGAAATAAATACACAAAGAAAAATGGTAATATATATAAATGATAAAATATATATTCCTAACCATTAGAATAAAATATAAATTAAAATGGAAAAAAGACGAAATAAAACTAAAATGGAAGGATATGTAAAAATGAAACTTAAACAGAAGGGTATGTAAAAATGAAGGAGACACATTTGACAAATATATAAAGTTCAACGTAAGGAGTGGTTCACTTTAATTGAAAATCGCTAATTTCAACAGGAAACGTTACCGCGTCAAATCTAAAAATTTGAGTGTTAACCGTATTGAACGTCTAAAACAATCTGCTTTATTTTTGAAAGCGTTTGTCACCGTGTCTGACGTTGTAATTTAATGTCACAGGTGCTTTTCTGTGTTTATCTAGTCAAGTTTGATCTATCAGCGTTTGAAGAATGTCCAAACCGCACATTCTTAAAACTGTACATCCTTTTTAAGAAAGTACAATTAATAGTACATTTTTAAGAATAGTCGACATTTTACTGAACAGGGTGACGTCACAAAAGTGACGCTATCTTTTAGATTCCCTGTTCTCGTTTCTTTTCTGGACAACTTTTCTTCCTCTGTCATTACATTCAAACTTACTATTTAAACTTCTCTGTTGGAGTACATTTAGCTCAGTATTTGGATTTGGTAATCGATTTTCCATATTTCCTTTGTTGTTTTTTGTGTAGTTGTGTATTCTGTGTTGGCAGTCGCTGGGCCTGTGACTGGTGTGTGTTCGAGAACAAATGTACTCATGAAAGCTCTGATTGCACCAAAGATAATGAAATCATCATTACTGGACAAAATGTAAGAAAATCCAAAACAAAATTCATTGCAAATGCATTCATGGGTTTTGCTGTTATTTAGTTTATCATCACGAAATGAGATTCAAAACAAGTATCACATTATTTCGTTAGAAAATACCAAACTTTGTATGTAGAAGTGTGGTATTCTGCAAGTACGTGCCTCTATTAAATGAAGTGTTAGTGCCTCTTTTAATTTACTTACAGCTTAATTTGTAAGTAATTAGTTTAATTTTGCTATCTTTCCTCTTTGCTTCATTTTAAATGTTATTTATGATACTTTAACCATTGCACTCAGAATCCAGTCTCAATTTTGCCAAAGGGACCTGGATCATGTCCACAGCTGCAAGCTCAAAGTGGTGAAGTTCTTCTGCCTAATGGAATCCACAGGAGTATCACAGTCAGCACTGAAAATCTGCCAAATGCAACTCAGGTATAAGCATTCTCATAACATCATCCGTGAAAGCACAAACATAGGAGGTTTCAAAACGTGATAAAAAGCTTATTGCCTTTTGAAGAAGAGTTATTAGGTATTTCATAATAACTGCTGCAGACGACGTATCACTGCATTTCATTCCATTATCATGGAATGCATTTCACTGCTTCCATTATCTGTATTGCTTTCAGATTTGTAAGATTCTTTCCATTGGTTTGTGGGTAGATTTCTAGCTATGGTTGTAGCTTGGACGTTGAGGGATTACCTCAGACTGTAATGGCACAACGTAATGGAACGGATATTACATGTGACCAGAATGCTGTAAGTGATCATTCAAAACTGATATTTTCGTGTTCACTGTTTACTGTCTGACAGATAATACAGTTTAAAACCTTCTATTCTGATTTATATAAGATTTTGTTCCATTTTAAGCTAAAGAAAAATAGTGTTTCTTCAACAGTTCAAATATTTGGCTAACAATGAGCCAGAACTTGAAGTGAGACTGACTGTTTCTTGGACTGACACGACTGGTACAGCACATATTCTTGATGACATACATGGGTTCAATGGTAAGCAATTAAATCAGACATAAATTTATATGGCAACATATTGTTGCAAAGAGCAACATCTCAAGTCTTATTCCGCATTAACATCAATTTTGGCATAATTATTTAAAGTTTCAATATATATATTTTCCTGATAGCAACTCTCTACAAATGTGAAGTCCAGAAACCAGACTGCAGCCGATGTGTTACAGCCCGTCCAGAGCTTGGATGTCTGTGGTGTGGTGCCATGCCATCCTTATCGGGTGTTTGCAAGCTGAATGAAACTTGCATTGAAAATTTTGTGACTTTGTTTAATGGAATGAATTGCCCTGATCCAGTTCTCAGCGAGGTGGGTTGAAATAAAAAAAAATAAGACAAAGCCTTATACTACGATTGTCATTTTACCGCCATTTCTTCCTAAAGATTCCGTTCATAACAACTGATAGCGTTTTTAACGAAATTGCTACGGGCCTTTCTAAATCAGAATTTGAATTATACTTGCACCATGTTCCTACAGAAACTGTGAGAGGTTGTGTAGTTTGTTTTCAGTGTGGTCTTACTCCATTTCCTTGCTCATCACCCCTAAATTATGATGAAGGTGTTTCCTTTGACTGGACCGATTGAAGGCAATACAATCCTTGCCGTAATGGGAACTGATATCGGTCGAAGATTTGCTGACGTCGTCGCTGTGATGGTTGGCAATCAACCCTGTCCTCTAGACGGATTAAGCTCTGACTATCTAATTGGTGCAAGGTATGAGAACAAAAGGCTTGTTTCCAGCTAAAAAGAAATTTGAATTTTAAGTAGATAGACTTGAAAGCTTAAACACAAGATATATAAAACTGATGTCGCTGGGGTCGGTGAATAGCCATTATGCAACAACCTTAAGTGAATGTCACATGACACTATCTTTCAGTGTCAGCTGCAGGACAAGACCAGAACGTGAAGGAAATGAATCGGTCAACTTGACTATCACAGGGGCAGATGGTACGCTGCAGCACAGCTCTGGAACTGTTAACTTTAACTACACAGTAAGTTACAGTGGTTAATCCTAGGAAATGCATACAGGATAACATGCTGACACCAAACGTGTGTTGTCCTTGCAGTTCAACTGTCAAATTCCGGAGTATGAGCTATAGGCCTAATCAAGGTTGTTTAAGTTTTAAAAATGCGTATGTGGTTGTTTACCTCAGAATGTCAAAATCATTTAATACTATACCGTTTCTTACCAGAATCCAAGGATTACATTATTTGAACCTCGCCTTGGCCCAGAAGCTGGTGGGACTGCAGTAAGCGTGAATGGTACAGACCTCAACACAGGACGAAATATTGAGGCGTTCATAGGAGAAAATCCATGCATCATATCATCGTAATTATCAGTCTTATATATTTTACCCCCAAAATGTGTATACTTGACAGAGGTTACATCACTTATAATCCAGTGTTGTTTTGATTGTTGATTAGAATTTGAATTAGTAAAAGACAAACAGCTCAGTTTCTGGGCCGATAAATGTTTTAAGTCTGGCCCCGCAAGTGTTATGGTCGTGTTAGTAAATAAGCATTGAAACGATAATTTAGTTCCCTCGGAAAATGTGCATCTGTTAGATTTTCATCAGTCAGTGAGATTTTCGTGCCCATGTACCATATGCGTCCATATGAACGCAATACACACCAAATATTTTGCAAACAGCGATCCAACAGAAGGAGCCTTAGCGTGTACTACATCCGCCGGACAGGCTGGAATGGCAAGTAACTTGAGAGTTTCCTTCGATGGTGCGAACAGAACATCAGATGAGAAATTTAGTTACACAGAAAACCCTGTCATCACTGGGGTTCAGCCACTCAAGAGCATATATTCGTAAGTCTGTTGCTCTGTAGTTTTTACCTGAGTTCTAAGCAATTTCAACTACTTTTGGTGCGCATGCTTAATAATTACCATTTCATTTGAAAACCTAAAACTACTGCAAACCATAAATAGTTTAACGTTTTGCTGCAATAAAGCTGCTTTGCTCATTACCTTCTGTACAAGCGTATTTTTCATGTTCTGCAATATTAGGGGTGGTCGGACGTTGAATGTAAATGGCCAATACCTGGATACCTGCCAAAATCGTCAGATTTACGTTGGGGATAGTAGTCTGACATACAAAGAGGTAACATTGCTCGATTTTTTTGATTAAAAATAGCATTGAATGATATCTTTTATTTCACTTTGAGCACTCTCAGGTACTCTTGGAGGTTTAAATAATGATAAGGGATAATTTTCATTAATTTTCTACCAAGGTATGCACAGGGGATTCCCCCACAGAGATGCAGTGCAAGTCTCCAAACATAACATCACTCCGAATGATGATGGAAAGCAACGAAAACCTGACCTTTGGCTTCATCATGGACGGGGTCAGCCAACTATTGACATGGTCTGAGGATAATGAGATAGAGCTGGAGTACTTTGAAGATCCAGTGTATGTCCCGTTTGAGAATGAAGAGATGGAGAAAGATGGATCAACACTGACAATCATGGTGCGAATTGCTGGCTTAATGTGCCTATTCGTCTTTGGCTAAATTGCCTCACCTTGCGTAACTTTAAATCTAATATAATGTAATAAAATCTATCTCCCTAATTTTGTGAAAGCTGCCATGTCTGCCCGCCAGAATCTAATCTGACTGAACTTTATTTTAGCGATGCATCATGTTAAGTGGCTGTTCTCCTGCGTGTTCTCTCTTCTCACCATTGTGCTTAGCCTAGTTGTCAGACTAATCTTTGTACCAGCAGAGGCAGTGCTATAATCGACAGAAGGGGCTGGATATTGGTAGTGGTTTCATGAAAATTCCTGAAGTGATCAACCTCATCAGGGTAATAAATACAATCGATGAAGCACGCATCTTACTCGTTTAGTCCTATTCTTTCAGTTTGTTTTAAAAATTGTATCCAAGCTTGCTCTTGGAATGAATTTAATTTAGTGACTAGGAAATTGTGGGAACTAGAAGATGTCTGTTTTTTCTAGAAAGGACCCAATGGATTGGATTACTGCGACTAATTGCAAATAACATTGTTGTTTCAGGGTGAACGGTTGGATAGCGCGATCACGGCCCAAGAAATCCAAGTTAGGATTGGAAATGGCTTCTGTGAAGTCAACCTGGTCAGTGATACCACCTTACAGTGCACTCTACCAGAGGATGAACCGGCCGCTGGGGACTTCAGAGATGAAGACAAAGAAAGAGACTTGCCTGTGGTGTGGGTACGGAACTCAAGAAAAATTACAGAGAGGCAACACCCATGTCAAGTAGTGGCGTATTCAGGTTTAAGGTTCAAACATTTCAGTTTTTCCCTAAAAGAATCATCACACCTCATCTCCAAAAGGCTGAAGTGCCGTTTCCAAATAGTAAGCAATTTCAGTACCGGTAGCTTAATTGGAAACAAACGGCATATTTGGCGGCATGTCGAGCAGGGGTGGTGAGACAACTTGACCCGCTGCCTCCTCTCCCTGGATACGCCACTGATTTCAAAACAGCGAAAGCTACATCACCACTTTCCAGACAGTAACATCTATGAAACTAAGTGACATCATTTTTACCTAAAAGCTCCGCTTGGAACAAATTCAGACGAAAGTATCTCTAAGAAACATCGCATGAAGACAACCAGCGGCTGATCTAGGAAATGTTCAAGGGACGGGATAAGGCCGGAGATTTTGTATGTGTGTGTGGACAAGTGAAAACGACGATAAAACGTTACATGACATGCATTGTTTACAGTCGTATCGGTGCACTTACCAGTGTGCACTTATTAGTTATTTTTTAATTTCGCCCGTTTTACCTTTTTGTTTTGTATGTGTCTCAGAAGGGGGCGTTGGACCCTCCCACTCCAGATCCGCGCCTGACAATATTATCCTGAAGTTTAAGTTGCAAGCTATTCTTACTGTAGTTTTCATTTTTTTTATTGTTTCTTAGTGGGCTCTTGCAAGTTTTTGAAAATCTTAAGTAGGCTATGGAGTATTGAGAATGTGTCTTTCCAGCAATTTGTTCATTTCAAATTTCCATTTATTTTTATTTGAAATTTCCATGTTTTTAGGTAATTCACAGCAACCTGGAGTTTCGCATCGGCTACATTCGCTACCCCCTTCCATCTGTCGTTCCCATCGTTGTGCCGTCAGTCAGCGGGGCCATCCTGGTGTGCATCCTGTTTGTGGTGTTCTGTTTTGTAGCTCAGGTGTATGGGGCCAAACGAGAAGCAAGACTGATCGTGCAAGACATGAGAGCTTTGGAGAAAGATCTGGCTGATGAGGTCAGGCAAGGTGGGCTCAAGCATTCAAAAAGAAGATTGAAGAAAACAAGCCTAGATATTTATCGTACAGCGTTATACACAGAACTGCAAATTTACCTGACAGGATTCTGCATGGAAGAATGCCAGATCTAAAGAGAACTGTTAATGTGCCCCAAGAAAACAAGGTTTAAAATAAAGAAACTTGAAAATATTTGCAGCCTTTGCCGAGCTCCAGACTGACCTGACAGATCTGACCAGTGACTTAGAAGGAATCGGCATGCCGTTCGTTAGCCACCGAGAGTACGCAACCAACATGCTGTTCATTGGCCAGGAAATTATACCTGATACCGAGGACGAGGAGGTAAGCAAATTTTAACTCCGTTCGATCAAGCAATAATACTTCTGTTCTTCACCAAAGAGAGAGAGAGAGAGAGAGAGAGCTATACGTATTTGACAAACATCGACATTAAGTTATAATTGACCTTTGTACTGTCCCTCTGTATCCACCTTTGAATCAAGTATCCCAATGAGCAAGTAGAGAGGGCCATGTGTAAGTTTTCACAACTCCTTAGCAACAAGAATTTCCTCCTCCTGCTCATCCAAACACTGGATGCAGAGAGCAACTCCAAGTTGTCCATCCGAGAAAAGTAAGAATGATTGCTATGGCCTTCTTTTATAACAATAGCGAGACAAAAATTGAATGAACCTGTTTGGAAATATTTCTCATTGCATATAGTCTAATATACTGGTCTCTGCCTTTTTCAAAATTGGAATTTTGACTGGAAATTGTTACTTAAATTCGGGTAGTGTTTTTGTGTCGCTAATTTATATTGATTTTCATTTCAGGCAATCTATTGCATCTCTACTGACCGTCGTGATGGTTCTGGAGAATAAGCTGGTCTACATGACAGAGTAAGTCACACTGAGAATAATCACTAAGTGTAGACCTAATAATCCCAATCTGTTTATACGTAAAGTATTAAGGACTTCTTTTCCCTTTACAGTATAATGATAACACTGATGACGCAACTCATCGAAAATGCCGCTGATTCCAACCGCACTCGCCAGCTTTTCTGCCGGTAAGATTATGTTCTTTCAGTAGTTTGATCTATTTATCTGTGAGAAGAGATTCACATTATTATTTAAGGCATTCTCGATAATTCACTTTTGCCTCATACAGAACCGAGAGCATTCTGGAGAAGCTGCTGTCAAACTGGGTTGCTCTTTGCTTGTATGATCAGCTGAAAGTAAGACTTGAGAACTGAATCTCTTTTCAAGAATTTAAGAAAGGTTTCCCTGATATGCAGAAAATGAACTGCTTGCATACCGATTCAAAATATAAGTTAGATCATGAAAATCAATACAATACTATTTTAACAGCACGCTTATTGTTTCGTTTTCAGAGGTATTGACCCCTTTTTATTTACTTATTCAAGAATCACACTGCCCACCCGCTGTTTGTGTTGTACCGAGCCATCAAGTATCGAAGTGAGAGTGGTCCCATTGATGTCGTCAGTGGTCGCTCACGCTTCTCGCTCAACTACGAGAAACTTCTACAGGAAGACGTGGAATTCAACTCTCTTGTGAGTCTACTTGGTATAGAAGCTAGCCCCCACGAGTCAAGGTTCCCAACCTGTGAATGAACAGGATGGAATATCTGTTCAGAGCATGAACAAATTACTTTGACCCCTTGCCCTTTGTTTATTACGCCTCCCAACCTCAGGTGTTCAATTATTGTCATAAACATTTCATGTCTTCAAGTTTCCTCGAAGTTATTGATACAGAATGTAATTATTTTCCAGAGCGAGTTTTGATTTTTACTTTTTTTCTCTTCAAAACTTCTATCGTGTTTCAATCGGTTTATTTTTTTTTAAATATAACTTGCTTATTGTTTCAGACATTGGTTGTTCTTATCGACGAGGAAGGAGAAGTGATCAAAGAAGTGAAAGTGTTGGATGTAGACACCGTCTCCCAAGTGAAGGAGAAGATTTTAGATGCTCTCCATCTTAACAAACCTTACTCCAACCGCCCAAGTGCTAATCAAGTCAGCCTTGGTATGTTCCGACTGTTCGCACATTTTAACACTACCGTTAATGGAGAGATATCTGTTTGAATGCATTTTGGGACATCAAAAACTAATCTTGATTTCCTCCTTTCTGCAGCTTACACAAAAACTTTGAGTTTGACTAACGTTATTTGGACCTTCGACTAATATCTGATTAGGAATCTGATCATTGTATTCAAAATATCTATTAATGGTCGTGGGAAGAATCTGTAGCTTTTTTGTCTTGGCTTCCTTCATTCCCGTCAGTCAACTATTCGTTCATTTCTCAATTTTTTTTCTCTGCTTAATTATTTTAGAGTGGCGCCATGGACGGAGCGGCAAACTTGTCTTGACTGACACGGACATGAGGCCATTGACTGATAAATGGCGTCGAATCAACATGCTCAAAGACTTCCATGTATGGTGTTAAACATCCATTTATAAACGTTTATAGGTGGCTTTAATCTGATCTTATTATCCGTTCAATCTATTATACCATTCCCCTTCAAACAAGAACAAATATACCGATAAATCCAGATAAATAAATATGCCAGACACAACCCACCATAATCTTACAGCTGATCAGACGTAACCTTGCTCATTCCCTTTCATCTGATGATGGCTATTGCCCATTATTTTGTTCCCACATACCCTGCATAATTTAATTGGATAATAAATGATGCAGTGGTTGTCCTTATGGCTCATCTCAAGTCTCAGATTTCCACAATCAGTCCACTTATTACCGTGCCATTTGTGTTTTAATTTTAAAAATTTACTTCAGTTTATTCAAGATGGAATGCTGGCGTGTTTGCAGTGAAGTCTGCTTGACTCCGTTTTATTGATTTGATGTTTTTCTCACACTTTATTGCCTCCCCAAAGGTTCCAGACAATGGCCTCGTGACCCTTGTCGAGAAGCAGGATGTGCCAAATGCTACACTCTCAGGAACAATCCTGAGGGTGCAAGGCAGGACTTCTTACGGTGAGAATCCTTTTCTAATGAACTATACGCGGCATTACGAGACGGGATGGGATTGAATGATACTTTTTAACTGACACATTGAAAAGTTTAACGTGCGTCACTTTAGAAACGGCTCCCTCGTGGTATAATGACCTGTATTGCATACGGCTGCATTTCCCCCTTCAATGCATGCAGTTGTGAGCTTGTTTACTTCGCAATTGTACCGGGGTTTCCCCGCGGAGAATTGTCTTTGTTGCAAAGCCTTTGAATTCGCCGTGTCACCCAGCTCTGAACCTACTGCCCAATGACACAAAAGTGGAAAGTGCACCGTGTGACAATAACACTAGGAAGTCGAGAGAAAAATATTGCTGCGTTGATACAGGATGGCTACAAGCACATACATGTACATGTAAATTCATCTTTCGTTCGTTTCATGAATAACAAGCTCTGGAGGAAATTTTGTGCATGTGTTTTTTTTATAATTCAAGTCCGTTTTGTTCAGAGCTCTCTTATTGGCGTTGAATGCCAGGCATTGAGATATTAATGAACTCTTAACACCACACTTTTAAATGAGGAACATTTCATTATGATGACAAATTAGACAAGAGAAGAGAACATTTGCAACTCTTCATTTTAGTAGGGAAAATGTAGCCAGCATGGAACCAGCATGTCTCTTATAACCAGTGATAACCCCCTCTTCTCCTTTCTTCGTTTTATTAAGATAAATTTCATGGACTACATATTTTGGAAACAGTCTGTCGATAAAGTTACAGCCTATTTTCTTAACATACGCAACTTCTTGGAACACATTTCAAACACCAAATTCCTCTCATCTGATTCTGAAATGATAAATGCGCATTGCTGTGATATCTTCTTCCATTTTCAAATATTCTGTGTGTTTAGTAAACGTGGTCTTTGACGATGAGAAGATCAAACGCAGGATGAGTGCCAAGCGACGCTACACTTTGGCCGAAGTAGAGATGCAGGAAGGAATCAGAGATTGGCATCTTGTAAAGAGACAGCTCGATCATTTTCCTCTTGAACTTACAAGCTGTAAATGTTCACTTTATTAATACAAACATACATTGCACTTCAAAAGTGTAAAATTGTGTGAACTGATTCAATTCTTGACAGACCCAGGAGGAGGAGTGGCCTACAGATGAGGAAGGAGGTAGACTGAGAAAGCAAGGAGGATGCATCTCACTGGATGTTGTCACCTTTAGGAACAAGATAAATCGTCGTAGGATCAGGGAGATTTCCTTCCCAAGACTTCTGTCAACCAAGGTAAGCAGCCATGCTAGTGATTCCCCAAAGACTGGCGCTTGTTGCAAGAACCCACAGTGAATTTAGGCTCTCTCCTCAAAGCTTATATATCGTACATTCCTCCATCTACACTGCATGGCTGAATATTTCACATGCTTGGAGTTCAACAACAGCATAGTTTCTTTGTGTCATTACACAGGGCATCATCCAGGAGTATGTGGACAACATGTTCAAGGCCATTCTGTCAGCCGAGACCGCCCCTAGGGCCATCAAGTACCTGTTTGATTTCTTTGACAATCAAGCCTATCGGCATGAACTGTCTGAAAAAGACTCTGACCTCGTTCACATCTGGAAGAGTAACATGTAAGGATCGCTAAGCTACACTCATTCTAGTTGGCTCACAGTCATATATAGGCATTTTAGTGATATTTTTATAGAGCTATAAGAGACTGGAACCCCACAACAAGTTCTTTGCTGTGTGTCTTCTGATTATCATTTGGTCAAATTTACAATTGATTTAGTTTTTTGTCTTTTGGGGACTTGTGCATGTAGTTTGCCACTGCGTTTCTGGGCTAACGCCATCAAGCACCCTGACTACATCTTTGACATCCGCCCATCTCGCAGCGTAGAGGCCAGCCTTGACGTCATTGCTCAGTTATTCCATGACGCACATGATACCAAGAGCCAAAAGTTGGGCAGGGTAATTTGATTTAAAACCTGAACTTGTCTGTGAGTGTTGGTATGACACACAAAACAAAAAGGGCCTAGAACGGTGACCACTGTAAATGGCCTACCCAATCACTTTAATCCTAAATTTCAAACTAACCTACTTTTTACCTAAAATTCCCTAATTGTTCTGAGACACTTTTGGCAGACTTGAAGGGAAAGGAAAGACCTACACATAATCCAGCTTGTCAATTGTCAAAAGAATAGCTCATTTTCACTTAAACATCACTGATTTTTTAAAGTACATTTATTCAAAGCTGTATTTTTCCCAAACCAAGGAGACATCCATCAACAAGTTGCTGTATGGTAGAGAGAGGACAAAGTACCACGATGACATTGTCTCCTTCTACGAAGAAGTACAGCAGTTACCTCCAGTGCCCACTCAAGAACTGAACAAGGAACTTTACAAAGCTTGCGAGGTGAAGTTATTTTCATATTAGTTAAAGGTTCCAGTACTGAAATTTTCGATTTGAAAATGAATGTCAGTCAGTTTTAAGATGACTGAAACTGATATGATATTGACGATCTTTTATTTCAAGGTCACATTCAAATAAAACCGAGTTTAATTACAATATTGATAGAATTGTTTCGGCTGAAATGTTGTTTGCAGAATTTCACTGGCTTGTTCAGTAAACTGAGTACTCTGGATCAACTCTGGAAACTCGTGCGAAGATTTAAGCAGAAGGTAAATGAATACTGAATGTCTGTAGGAATGTGTAGTTTGAAATGTTCAAAATAACCTAAAATGATATCGTTAATTTTCAAGCAAGTTCTTTTCTCTGAGCAGTTTCAACCTCAATGTTCAATCCCAGATTATCGGAAAGGTCAGGTCAAAAAGATTTGTCAGACAAGTTGACGACCACCAATTGTTATTTTTTTAATCTTGTGAAGCTCCTGGATGCGATTGAGGACAATGAGCGATGCAAGGAGGAAAATCTAGATGGATTGTTGGAGGAGATCGAAAACATTCTGTCTGAGGAACCAGACACCGGAGAAGCAGCGGTGTAGAGGACTGACAAGACCCAANTTTGGGAGGATTGATGAAAAAGACGAATGCCTTCTGTCATTGTTACTTAATGAATACGTCATAAAAAGAAAGTCGTCAACAGCTTAAACATTGGTCCATTTTGCAATACACGTTGATCTTAGTTATTGAAGAAGGTGACGTATGTTGCTCTAAGATTTAATGAATACTTTGGTCATACTTAAGACATTTTATCACAGGTTAAAGTTTTACCAACATTCAGCTTATTCGTATACACAGAATGTACTTTCTGCAGAAAGTATGAAAACTAATTTAAACTTTTGCGATTAAACACTCAGCAGAAATGCTCCTTTTTGTTCCTGTACACAAAGATTTCCATGGTGAAGTTCTTCCGTCGGAAATTGTACGCGAATTATGGAAGAGTCTATCTTCCAGTCTCTCTGAGCTACTGAGTAGAAAACAGAGTTGGCAAAACTGGTGGGCAGAGCTGAAATCAGCAATAAGTTCAGCAGCTCCTTGATAATGATGGCTCTGTCTCGAAGAATAATCCACAGTTCTTCTCAATGAAATATTGTTTTATTCATATATATATAAGCTTATATCATTGAGCCTAATTCTACAGCTAGCAACTTTGCATCATAAATCACAGAATTCACTGTTGAATAGTTGTTTTCCCTAAAGTATATAAAGATTATTTGAAACTGTTATCACTCAGATTTATATTCCTAAATTTGTGCTGAAATGTCAACTAATGCATGCAATTTTGATTACATATATAAATTCATATTTTTGAATATATTTAAATTTGAGGAGAAATAATGGTTCACACAATACACAATAGAAATATATTAAGTAACAAAACAAATCGTACAAAGTCAGTCTCTGTATTGTCAGAATTTGTCTTAAATCTTCCAATTGGATAATTTCATACAAATGTTTCAGCACAATAGTTTCATTTATATTATGATACACAGAATGTTTATGGGCACATTTTATATTGTTTCGAGATTAAATTAGAGGCAACTAGTTTAACTACTCTATTGAGATTTGTCTCGGGTGATTATACTTTTTGATCATTTGTAAGAGGTAAGAAAATACATGTCCTGAAATGTTGTCATTGCATCCTTGTACGATAGCACGATTGAGAATCATTCAAGTGAAACATATGCTGAGACTTAATCATTTTGACCAACTAGCAGTTGCACTTTTGGCCATCAGTAACATTGTTGATACACAACATTCCTCCAAAATGGTCGACCCTGTTAAGGTATTCTTGAAGTTAAACACGTGATAACCAGCTCTATCACGTGGGTCGAGGCATTTTCAATTGTTTTGCCAAAGCACTTGCAAATGAAGTCAAAGAAATCACTGTTCAGATGAGTCTTCTAGGACGTGCTATATACTGGCTTAAAAAGATTGTAATGCCAATAAAATAAAACCTCTCACACAATATATTCATGTGGGTTTTTGTCTCTGAATGGGTCAAAATTGCTTCTTTAAGTGTTTTCAGATATCGATTTCCACACAGCTTGGCTTTCCGTTCACTACTGATTTGGGCAATCTCGACGAGTCTTCAGCATGCAAGGATTCAATTCAGCGGGAAAGTAAGCATCTGCTTGAATCGTCGAAGCCAACATGACTCTAGGTTAGCTTGGAATCTGTGAAGAAGGTCGATGAGATGAAATGCAGCGGGCCCGGGGACAAAAACAATAACGCTCACGTCCTCTTGGAGAGATGTAAATCTTCCACAAGATGTCAAGGTAATGTTACTTTACTAAACCTGAAGCTTTTCAACTCGATTAATCACGAGGATTCGTGTGTAGAAGAGCAGGCCAGTTTTTGTGTGGTTGTATTTGAAGCTCTTCCGTGTCAGGATGTTGACAAGTCAGGATCAAGCCAGTGTAGAAATCGGGCTAGTACAGAAGCCCTCCCTTCGCATTTCGACAAGTAGTTCCTCCAAAAAGTAGAGTATCAAAAAGTATGTATGACGGACAGTATGAACTCATTGATGCAGTTCATTGGACGAGTGCTTTCAGTAAATTCAAGACGGAGCTGCAGCTTACATGACAGGAAAGGTAATGAAGCTCAAGTGTAAACATCAAATGTTTTAGACTTAGATACTATGCCTGGTCAGGAGGTAAAAGGAAGCAGTGGAATGTGCTGAAACGGTTCACACTCTTGCTTGCTGGAGTTAGAGGCTGGAGTGTCTGTAGCTATTTTCAATGGATCATGGAGAGAGACTTCAAATAATTCTTCGGTGTAAAATGCCAGCAGATTTTAGACGAAGTGATAGGCCAGGTGCTTAGAACAGAGATGAATAATCAAGACTATAGAGATCTCAAAAACAGCCTGACCAGATGGAGAATGAAACTGGCAAATGTCTCAGAGCCGGAGTATCTAATCCAATGAAGCAAGGTGCGAGGCTGACATTATGAGAGATGCTTTGCTTCATGGGCTAAAGAAGCAGGGCTTGAGGCCCTGAAAAGGATGTTTAAAAGGCAGGCGACAGACAACAGCAACAGTGAACAGTGTCAAAAACTAATAATAAAAAGAGGACACAATGGTTGATTGAAAGACGGTCTATGCTCATTGTATTATCCAGTTTGAATTCATATATGAAGTAGAAGAGTGTCGTGTTTGCATATAAATGTAACTATAATCCTATCGGTGCAGCTGACAGAATTCACGGTCAGGGTACATTTTCGTTTTCAGAAAAATGAGTGTGAAAACAGAAAAGTCAAGAGGATGGAGAGTAGGATTCATTTGCATCAGTTTCTGTGTTAGCTACGGTAGATGATGGTTAAGGGGGTCCGACTTACAGCGGAACTGGCAAAGAATGACGACTTATGAATATCGAATATTTTCAACAGAATTTCCCTGACACTTAAGGATGTATGTGGATATGACTGTACAACACTAATCCATACACGTGTTTAAAGTAGTGTGGTTCTGTAAACAGCCAAGAATTGTTCCTTTCGATGAGGCAATAGCTTCCTTTTCAGTGATTAAGTAAGAGATCCTGGCTCTTATACTGATGCACGTAGCTTCTGGCTCCTTCAATATCGGTTTGGGCATGTACTGTACAAATGACTTTGGCAAAACGAATCCTGCGTCTTGCGATATCAAAGCAGGTTACACAATTAGTGAAAAACAAACTACAAGGCAAACTTTACGGGAAAGTAAGACCAACGACGAATCACTGATGTCACCCTATATTCCAATGAAAACATAAACTGACCTACTTCTATTGCTAATTTCTTTGAATGTATTTACGCCATGTACACCTTGAGATTATAAGTATCAACGACGCAGCCTCACAAGAGTGACTCATCTAACCCTGAATGTACTTTTTCCAGATAACCAAGATTTGGGTAAATGTAACATAAGAAGTGGATGAACACACATGGACAGAGCAAAGACTAAGCGGGCTTTCATCGTAGGACTGACTGTCTAATTGATTCCATGCATATTTTGCTCTCAAGGCAAACAACGTTTCAGAAGACCCAACTTTAACAAAATCTGTAGAGGTAGGAAAGCCATCCAATCCATTTGCTTATGCAAGCAATTCTAAACGGAAGGGGAAAGACCACTCTAAGCAGTCTTAGCATACAAAAGATCTTTTATGAAGGCAGCGAAGAGATACCTCGCCAGCCAAACGAAGAGGAACCTATCAAAAGCCTCTCCCAAACGTCAGTGAAACCCCTGCTTCTTTTCGAACAACTCGCTCATGAAAAAGAATTGCTTGTTCATACGGTGTGTGTGCAAACGTTTTCTTATTCAACAGTCCCAGGCTGTTCAACCAAACCAGACCAAATGAATTATCATTTTGCAGCACGAATTACCTCTATTTCGTAAAATCTCTATTTAAACCATGCTTAGTTTCTGTTGTTCGTTAAAGTAATTGCTATATTATCTTGTCGGAACTTCCTCTACAGCTATTAGTTATAAAGGAGAGAATTTGGATGGACGCAGCAGTATGTCCTGTTGAATAAGAACACGCCAGGTTCTGAAAATATAGCACATGAAATATCAGGTCAGTGCAATCCAGGCTCTGGTAAGAGCCTTGCAAGGTGTAGTGGATTGAGGTTTTCTAAATAAGTTAAAATCATGTAACCACTGCAAAATCACCACGTCAAATTAAGAAGGCTCCGATTGGCTGTAACCGCTTAGAAGGCGTTAACAGACTTCATGTGGTATAGCAGTACTAAGAAGTCACCGACATTGTAATAGTAGACTATGATTGGTTGATGTTCATGCCGTAGTTTGTGCTGAACGTAGAGTGCTTATACAGTTGTACAGAATAATCAAGGAATGTAAGCATTTATGCATATAAAATGCAACGCAAAATCTGTTGAAATCATTCTGTTTCCTGTTTAGCCTATTCACATGTTTAGTCATTTGTTCCAGTGCTAGAATCAGTTGGGATTGCCGCTCTTAATAACTTTCAAATTCGACCGAGTAAAGTCATCCAACCTATAAGAATATATACGAAATTTACATCATATTTAAACAAATCCACCTAATTCCTTAGTCGCCCACTTCTGAATGAACGGATCTGCTCCAGTAACAAGGGGACAACTTGTGGGATGAAAACCCACAGCAATTAGATCTTTCTGTCAGGATTAAGGCACGCGGATTCGGTAAGTATTCGTAAGCTTCAATCTTAATTTGTTCGGAAAACAAGTTGCCCTATTACAGGATTTAAATTGATTCCCATGTCAATTTTCGTGTCTTGTGTGATGAACTAACAGCTCTACAAGTGGCATCCGATTTAAAAGGACAGTGATGTATGCTTTATCATGACAATAGTTTTTTTTGTAGGCAGGATATTGGCAACCGTAAGGGAAGAACGATATTCTTCAAGTATATCTCCCTCTGCGAGATCTTTGAAGTCAATTATTGGCCAATTATAGTCCAATTATAGCAGCGGGTACTAAATCAGTAATTGTGAAAAATTCAGCAAGAAGCACACTTGGCGTTGTAAAGCCACTTGTTTATTTGCGTTGACTGAATGCATCCCACTCAGGGGCCAGCCTTGAAGGCGTGCACACGAAACTTTGACGTCCCTTGATTGTATTTTTTTTTACAAGCATATTAAAACCATGCAATCTATAATAATAAATTTAATAAGTCGTCAAATGAATGCACTTTATCAACATTCTCACGGCAGTAAATTATCTTCCCATTTTACAGACTGTCTATGCGAAGTGTGCCGGATTTAAATAGCACTATGGAGAACTTTAGGATACACACAGCAATCCTGTCAGCAGTTGGTTTCTCTTTGAGTATCTTCTGTGTGAATGTCTTCATGGTATTGGCGGAGTGGCAAGGAGATCTGTCAGCCTATGAACTAGCCAGCTTCAATAATCCTGATCAAGAGGATGTACCTCGTTCTCAAACGTTCAACCATTTTACCTTGAGTGATCATGGTGATGTGTATGTCGGAGCTGTCAATTGGTTGTACAGGTTGAATAGTAGGTTGGAACAGATACAGAATGCTTCAACGTGTGATGACAGTATGCCTTACAAGGGGATGCCGTGTCGTCGTACAAATAACTACAACAAGATACTGGTGGTTGACACTACTCGGCCGAACAGTCTGATAACCTGTGGTGGTGTGTTTGATGGTATATGTCAGTTACGGCAGTTGCAGGATATCGACGTTGTAGTGACTCAGTCGGTTCCGTTCGTTGCTGGGTTCGAGGATGTGACTACTGTTAGTTTAATTGCCCCAGGGAGAGACGGAAAAGGCATGCTTTATGTTGCTGTTACTTACACTGGCGAAAACGTGTATTTACAAAATGCCTTTCAACCAATCACAAGAAGGGCTCTTACATTTGAGAGTGAAAGTACTTTTTTAGGCGCACTGACAGAAAATAACTTCTTTCTCACCAATACTGATGCGGGGGGAGTTGAAACAAGGTACTTTTTAACATTTGACTACATTGGATTCACCTACTTTGTTTTTTCCCAGAAAGAGGATCTTAATCCTGTACGTTACGTTTCTAAGATCAGCAGAGTCTGTCAGACAGGCCCAAATCTAGATGCATACACAGAGATCACCATCCAGTGCAGTAAATCAGATGGAAGTGTGTACAGCTTGGTGCAAGCAGCTCACTTAGGACCAGCAGGACCTGACCTAGCGGCATCATTGGGCCTCCATGCAGACGAGCAGGTTTTGTATGCTGTGTTTGCAAAGAACCAAGGAGGTGTAGGATCCAGTAATGTTCCCATCGAACACTCTGCATTGTGTGTGTACAGGATGACTGATATCTTGGCTGGCTTCAGAGAAGCAGTGCGGGGCTGTATTCAGGATGGAGATGCATCTGTAGAATATTTGCATAGTCCTTACTGTGCAGGTTTTGGGGACGTAGGTGAAGGACAATAATAATCCCATTTAACCTAGCATTCATGAATCCTGGGACAGTTTTTCTATTCCCATTGGTCTAAACGCATCATGTGACCACAAATTAACATTTGATAATGCCGGGTGCGTAAAAGGCGAGCTGGCACCTGCATATGAGACGGTTTAATCCATTCCGGGAGATCAAGAGTCTGGGTGCGCGCGATACGCACAACTTGCCACGCGCGCCCTAAGTCCATATAAGGAAAATCTTGTACTTGTACAAGGAATATACATATAAATGTAACAAAGTTGAGCAAAATCCTTGGCGACGTATTGAATATTGATTTTCTTTCACTCTCTGACTGAAATGGTATTTATGAATGGGAATAAATGTGTGCTTGGTCCATCTTAAACTGACGTTTAAGACCAACCAAGCACATACTTATTCTCTAATGAATTCTCTCTGAAACCTCTCAAGGGCATTATGTAGTGCATAATTCTTATAATTAAGACCTGTATCAATATGGTCACAATTTTGATGACGTGCCAATCAAAAATACGAGCACAGCAGGTGCTGTGGATTTCCATGTGGAAGAGACCTAGTGCACATTGTTTGTGGGAGGCCTCTTGTAGGGAGTCTCGTGTTTGTGAATAAAACCGTGGAAACACAGTTCCACGAATTGCAATGCCCTGAAAGAGAAATGTAGTGGTCTTATTTCGAAACTGAAATCAACGTATATAGGGCGAGTGACCTCTTTTTGACAAAATTAAACTTTCTTTTAAGCAATTTTTAAATGAAGACGTGCGAAATTTAAAAAAAACTGTATTTAAAAAAATAACAATAAAAACATTGGAAAGTTTGTTCATCAAAGTTTTACTGAAACTGTTTAATGAAACAGTTCGGCTTCGCTGAAAGCAGGTCAAAAATATTATTTTGATTTGGCCACTAATGTACATTGTAAATTATTAGAAGTGCACCTTAGTTGAAAAGGTTTAACAATTTGCTGAAAATGGATCATACGGCTACTATAGTGTTTGATTATTACTGTAACAGATGCTTTCCGTATTTTCAAAATTTGAAAGAAATGTCACTAAAAAACTCCAGAACTGATTTAATTTCAAATGCAAGTTGTACGTAGTATTATTTATATTATAATTGCGCTCAAACCCAGTTGAATGGAGCAGTCAAGAATATGTTTTAAATATTGTCTACATTCTGCAGATAAACATCTTGGACAGATATTTTTGCATTCCTACAACTGATATCGGCAACACACTACTGTTCAGGCACGCCAAAGGCACCCAGCCAGTTAGCTCTTCAGATGCGTTGGAACTTCCTGGTAGTAAAATTATTCTGTTACTAGGATGCATTCAACAAAACTTACTGTTAATTTTTTCATTCTGTTCTGTGTGTGGGGCGTCAACACTGTCAAGTCACCCCGCTTGAGCAGATAAAAAATTTCAAGACATTTAAATTTGCAATACATGAAGTATTAATATTTTCTACAGGTTGTTTAATGTCATCCATCATCACCAGCATTGAATGCAACCACACTGTGGCGTTCATTGGAACATCAAAGGGAGATCTACTGAAGGTAGATATTTTAGAATAAATGCTAAGTCAGGAGTGTCTCAAAGAGTATAACACGTATGAACGATTGGAACTTTTCTTTAAGAGGGTCCAACGTGTCAACTTGAAACTTGGCACAAATATTAGTTTTGAACCGAAAATTTGCATAATAAGCTTACAAGCGATTTTAAATTAAACAGCTTCTTTTGGCTTTATATCATAAAGATATGCAGGTGTGATTTTGTGTGGGGCCATATGGGCATTGGAGAAAATATAACGTTTAAATACAGAGGCGCACAATGACGTCTTAAGAAGATATTTAGCAGCGAATGGTCCGGAAAATTTTGTTTGTTTCATAAATACATCTTTAAAAATAAGTTTCAGTTTGCCATAATTATTATTGCTATTTCCTTCCTTTTGATTCAGGTTCACATTAAAAGTAACAATACAGCCAGATTGTATGAGAGAGTACCACTTGACACCAGTCCTGTATTGACAGATATCAAGACCAATGGCACGACAGGAGAGATGCATGTACTCACGGAGCAAAAGGTTGAGGTTTTTACTTACTTATATCACTGCCAATTGAAATCTCTTATAGCCCCAATTATAATCAGCATTTGAATTTGGAGATATTAAGTGAAGTGAGCTCTATGCTCGTTGAAATTGGAGTACATACACGAAATCGTGAAATAGCTACTGGGTGGTAATTGTGCGCAAAGCTATTCGTTTACTAACGTTTGAGGTTTGCCAATAGTTTTGTGATAAGCACTGGCTGCAACACGAACTTTAAGACAACAAAAATGCTAAACATACGGACATATCCTTGCAGGGAAGCCATCTAGTGCCAGTGGTTGATAGTAAGGATAATAGTAATGTTTATGCATAAATTTATTATAATTTGATCTCCTTGGGCGTAATTTTTTTGCCCTAACAGTTAATCAAGATGCGTCTTGAGAAATGTGCTCATTATAGAATATGTAGGGCATGTATCGGGACTGATGCAGGGAATGATGGAGACCCATACTGTGGATGGTGCACCCTGGAGAAGAAGTGAGTCAGAGGATAGCAATTATTAGTTTACCATGGTTGTATGGAGGTCAGTCATACGCCAGAACGGATAGTTAAGGTGACTACCAGGACAAATGTGCATAGGGTATGGTCCACATAAGTGTGGATTTGCACTGCTACCATATTAAGTATTGACGGATTAGAAATTATAATATTGAACAGATTTTCCGTAATTATTTGAATAAAACCAGTAAGAAATTTTAAGCCCTTGTATTTGTACCAGAATAAAAAAATATGTACGATAGTTTGAAAGTTTCACATACTCTTTAAAAATATACTTTTCCATCTATTTGTCTGAATAGCCTACATATAAGAATGTGATAACTGCAATGCTGGTTACTAGTCAGTAACTGCCAAACCTAAAGAAACGTAAAATATATTATTAACCTTTTTGATTTAACACTTTTTGATCCCACCATCCTCCGTTTCATAATCAAATGCACGATTGTTTTTCTATAGATGTACAAGATATTCAGACTGTCCGTCGTCGGATTTATCCACTCGCTGGTTGGCCTACGATGCTGCTCAGTGCATTAATGTCATCGATGTAGCTCCTTATGACAGCCTGCCAATCACTGTCACGGAACAACGGGTGAGTTTCCCAAAACTATTTTCCCAGACAAGGCCAAGATGTTGCTGGGGACTCAGCGCCTGTGTCTATTAAAATTGATTTTTCTGTGAAGACGAACCGTGTTTGAAAAAAATAATGTACGCTTTTGGTTTCTTTTTCATGTAACTACATATTCTTATTTCGGTGATATTGCCAACACCTTCAATTCTTATTTTACTAACAGTGGCACTGCACTTACAAACAAAATTCCCAAAACTAATTCGCACTTCAGTGATTATCCTCATGAACCCAATTCCTCTTCTTTTTTTTCTAGCCCAACAACTTCAGCTGAAATTATTATATAAAACACATTGATATTGGTAAAACACGTTGAAGTGATACCAGCGGCGGCTTTGATGACATTCGTTCCTCTGTTCTTAAATCAGGATTTACATCTATTTTTACTCTTGTTGACATATTTAATCGGTCTCTTTCTTCTGGCTGTGTCCCCTAAACCTCAAGGTTGCCAATGTCCCACCTGTGTACAAAAATCTGAGGACATCAACTCTGAGGACATCAATAACTATCGTCTAATTTCTGTTTTATTGTCTTTCTCTAAAATTCTTGAACGGATAGTTTACAATCGACTCTCAACATTTTTGTCTTCCTCTAATATTATTTTCAATCAACAGTTGGGTTTTCGCTCTCATTATTCCACAAACAAAGCTCTTATTCATCTCACCGACCTTATTTCCAATTCCATGTCAAACTCTCTACTGCAGGTATTTTCATCGATCTTTCAAAGGCATTTGACACCATTGATTACAGCATACTCCTTCCTAAACTTGACTACTATGAAATTAAAGGACATGCCCTAGAGTGGTTTGGGAGCTACTTGACAGACAGAAAACAATTTACCGTTGTCCATAAAACACCTTCTGACAGAAGTAACATCACGCACGGAGTGTGCAAGGATCTATACTTGGCCCCCTTCTTTTCCTGCGGTGTGTTAATGATTTGAGTAACTCCTCTTCCGACCTTTCCTTTCTGTTGTTTGCAGAAGCCTACATGTACTTCATCTATGTACTTCATCTATGTACTTCATCTATTCTGATCCAAATGTTCAGTCTTTGATTCGTATTCTTAACAGTGGACTTAGTAAATTTTCTTCTTGGTTTGAACCAACAAACTGTCTCTTAATGCCAGAAAAGCTAACTTTTTGTTCTTTCATAGAGATAGGCCTACAAGCTTTTTAGATGCTCTGCCCTCTATTTACATCGATGGCAATGCAAAATCGAGTACCCACAGTAATCAATTCTTGGACGTTGAGCTTAATAATCGCCTTCCTCGGAGTGACATTTCTTCAATTAGGCGCCAAGTCAAAATAGAAAGGTTCATGAAATGGGAAACGATACATAAAAGATAAGCTCCTTAACCGCTTTAGAGTAAAGCGGGCAACAACAGCGCGCCACTAGCTAAATGCTTGTGGTTTGATGAACGCCACTCCTGGGTGATGTTTTCTAACAATAGAGAGCTTTAAGGATTACACTCCATTGTGGCTGGTGGTTGAGTCAGAGCTGTTTATCAACAGCTGGGACCCCAGCCCATTGATATGTCAACAATTTTGGGTGGGGGGATGGGTTTATACTACTAAATGGATAAGGATTTTTTTCTTCAGTTTGCCACGCTACCCTTACCAACATTAGTCGACTTTTCTTATTTCACTTTTTAGATTGATTTTGAAGTCCTGTAATTGTTGCATCTATAATGTTCTCCATTTAGTTTATTGTCTAATCCAATTATTGACAAATCTGTGATGTGGAAATCACTGCCTGACAGTGCTAGATTTTGGGAAAGAAAACTACAGATCTTAATTCAGTGACACGAGACTTAGTGATGCACATAGGCCTGTTGACTCTGATGGAGTTAGTCTTTTGTTAAGATATTAATTGCTTCCCCTTCTGAATAAGCTGTGCTAAGCCTGTGGATGAACTGGCCCAATTTACACAACAAGCCGATGCACAATAACCATTCGTGGTAAGCTGGGAGTCAGGGCTTTTGTACCAAGGTGGGGGAAATTGTGGTATGCATCAAAGAGGTTGCTGCATAGCCAACTCCTTTTCGGGTAACGCTCTCTTGCAATCATTGCCCACTTGCAGTTGAAACGGGCAATGGTTTGAAAGGGGATTAAGGGCAATCATTTCCCGCTTGGTGAATCGTTTCTATTTTGATTTGGCGCCTTACTAAAACCATTTCCCGTTAATAGAAACTACTCTCTTCAACCTTTACAATACACTTATTCTTCCGTATCTGAATTACTGGAACATTGCATGGCCACGATCAACTGCTAATCAACTACACTCACTCAGTGTAATACAGAAGCGGGCGATCAGAGTTTGCACTTTTTCACAACCTCTAAGTCATTCTTCACCTCTATTTGCTAATCTCCACACATTAACGCTTGTGTTAAACACAGATATAAACAAACTCCAAACCGGGATCTTCATCTTCAAGTAGAGTAACAAAAATTCTTCCTCCTCTTTTTCAACCTATGTTGACTCTCACGTATGTTCATGCCCCTCACTTAGTTTGTGCGCATGCGTACTGAATCCCACTAAAACCAGAAGCCAAATGGCTCTTGACTAGAACCTCAAAGGTAATCGATTAACATCAAGCTCAGAAAAAGTTGTTTGCCCCTTATTTCCATATCGATTAATCTTTAAACGCTCAAAGCCCCTTTTGCTAACTTGCACACGATAGAAATCCTTTTCTGCCAAATTTTGCCCGTCGTTTTTACGTACCTCCAAAGTAACAGAGTCAGAAATTGGAAGTGAAGCCAATATTTTAGAGGGGATTTTTTTTTGCTGAGTTTTCCCTGACATTTCTCTACTTGTGAATAGTGAGGAACATCATGGACGCTTTTATGAGAAAGTATCATGCAAGAAGGAAACCGTATGGATGAAAACGGAAAGTTTTTGTTCGTGCCTGTTAGTCGGGCAATTAGTGCAAGACAGTAGGCCAACTCGTACCCAAACGCACTCGAATCCAGGTCTATGTATGTACGTGTGCACCATGCCCAAAATCCGGACACCTGATTTTTGACCTCTGCCAAACTCGGTGTGGAA